TGAGCTCTTTTAGGGCCCATATATTAAGGCACGGACTCAGCATGGCCATATATAAGTATGTAAAAAGAGTATATGTATTTAATATATCCAATCTATAAACTTTTTCCTTTAACCAGTCTAAAATCTTAATAAAGGAGGTAGGTTGCATTAGATAGGCAGCCAGAATAAAATTTTGCCATATTTTATCATGAATCTTTAACTTATGAAAAGAATGGATGAACAGGTAAAAAAAATATATGATGATGATGATATCTAACCCATAAAATAAATATACTAGGTCGAGCCTTGGAAAGGCAGGTGCTAACTCGGGCCTCCTAGGTCTACACAGACCCGGTCAGAGGGCCGTAACATGCAGCCAAAACTTGGGCCACAATTGGCCTGGCCAGGACCCATTGACAGCCCTAGCCACCCACTTTATATCCCAGTTGCCACTACTCGTGACGTTTATGACCTCCACAAGATTAAAATGGGAAAAGCGTGGAATAGCTTTAAAAAAAAAAGAAAGAATAAGTTAGATTATGAACATCATTAACGTACATAATGGTGTTGAAATGAACATATAGTTTATTCTAGTGTTGTTAAATTCGCTTCGTTTCAGCTGAACCTTTCGGATTTTAGGCGTACACTGAAGCAAAGTGAAGCCTAGTGTTGCTGCTTTGATTCTATGAGCTCTGGGCAACTTTTGTCGAATTTGAGTCTATTTCGAGCTGATTCGGCCTAAGCCAAGTAATATCTAGATAAAAGTTTTTTTTATTCATTTTGAAATTTTTATTTTTTATTTTTTCATTATTTTCATATATAATTAATTTTTTTAAAAAAAATTCTGAAGCCTGTTCCGAATCGGCCGAATCCCCACATTACTTCATTTTCCTCACCAAACCAAAAAGGACTCTGAAGAGATGTTGATAGCATTGGTCCATTCTCAGTCATGGACGGTAAGGATATCCATAATCTGTTCTTGCTCTCTCTCTTTATTTGAAAATCAGAATTCCCCAAAACCCCAAATCATAGTTCCTGTTAATATAACATCTAGGTTTGCATTACTTATTTATAGATTTTTATTTATTGAACAAATCTTCAAAATACAAAAACCAACGTTAAAATGATTGCGAGGGGTGTATTTGGTAAAAACTGTTAGTATATAGAAATCTCATTCAGTGACTAGCCTAATCATTAAGTAAAAGTACATTAGAATTTGACACTGGTATTTTCAAAGCAAGTTTCATGGAGCTTTATCAGTACAAATAGCTTTGACTTTAGATAAAAATTTCAACTGTATTCCCATAAAGATGATAAAAATATCCATTATATTTTTACAGTGATTTCGCATGTGCTTTAATTTACTTATGCATACATGTTACAGGGACTGTGATATTTTATATACCCTATTCTTAACTTAACATCAGTATTTTGAAGGGGTGTTAAGATTATAGAATCCCTTTATTTACTTATGCAATACATGTTACAGGGACGGTATGGACCGCAACTGCCCATTTGATTACAGTGGTGATTGGTACTGGGGTGCTTGCATTGGGTTGGAGCTATGCACAATTAGGCTGGATTCTGGGGCCCTTAGTTCTCTTGGCCTTAGCCTTTGTTACTTACTACACTGCAAATCTCCTCTCTGACTGTTATAGGTCTCCATACCCTGTTACAGGGCGCCGAAATCGCACATGCATCCATGTCATGAGCGCATTTTTAGGTCTCTCTCTTACACACAAGTTTTTTTTATATAAGTATTGACCTCCATTATCACTGATAGATTTAAAACTTGACTATTTCAAAAATGAGTAGGGGCTTATCATACCCACTGAGTTACCCAAAAAACTGTATTTTTTATATAAATCCCCCCCGCTTTCTAGGGCTATGTTAGGAATGGTTTTGTCAAAATTATAGTACAAAAAAATATAAATACAGAGACGATTTACTTCTGATACAGGGAGATCACAATCACTTTTATCCGTCAAATTTCAAATTGAGTGGTTGTGAGTGTGTCATTGACTAGACTCGATTCATAAAAATATTTCTCGAACCTTGTGACACACATCAAGGCATTCAATTTGACATCTAATAATTAATAGCAATTATGATGTTTTTGTAACAAAAGTAAATGGTCTCATAGTTTAATCCGATGAACTATTAAATAATTACACTATAATAAACAATAATATAGCGACCTATGAAAGAAGCATACCACTGGAAATGGAGCATACCACTGGAAAAGTAGGAAGATGACATCGAAGTAATGGTGGGCCCTACACCCTAAAAAATTTGAGCCCAATGAAGTAGAATTACCATAGCCTATTAATTTATTATAGACTTTCTTCATAGGTCATCCAATTCCCTCCTTATCATCGTCCATTGTTTAAATAGACAGTGTTGAACCAATACACTATATTTCTCACCTAAAGATATTTTACTCCTTAAGGAGTAGAGTGCACATTTACTCCATCGGAAAAAACCTCACCTAGAATTAATTTTAGGAATCTAAAATTTGGGGATGTGACATCTTCAACCCATGGATTAATTCCAATAAAAATGATTTTCTAATTGTACCCTCTCTGCCCTTGACAAAAATAATGTTTCGAGATTGAAGAGAGACCATCCAATTTTTCGGTAGTGAGATCTAACGGTTAGAAAACTCTAATTTCATTTCTGTTTTTGGAAAATAATCATCTAAAAATTCTTAAATGGTTCTCAAAATCTCATATTAAAGAAATCCTCCCAAGTAGATCTTTTGACCGAGGGAGTAGAAATAAAGCATGCTCCCGAGGGAGCATAGTATACGTGTCCATATTTCTCTATGCTTAGTCCGCTGAATTGTAGTATTTGTTCTCTTGATTCACAATTTTATTTCGCAGGCTCAAGAAAAATGATGATATGTGGTATCGCTCAGTATTTGTTCTCTTGCAGGAGCATGCTTAGTGTGCTCCTACAGGAGTATGCTTAGTGTGCTCCTGCAGGAGTACGCTCTACACATGCAAGAGTTAATTATCATTATTTTTTTTTTTTCCTTTTTTTTTTTTTTTAAAAAAATTTTGGGGATCTACTTTAAATTCATCAGAGGTGGATTTTAATAGAAAATATTTGGATCTTGAATTCTTAACCCGGCCGAGGGTCAGTTAGATCTTGGTACATATCGAGTACGTTTGGAAGTCATTTTACTCTCTTTCTTTTAGTTTTTCTTATTTTCGAAGTTGGTCACTAGGCTGAGAAGCTAATCTCCAAACTTTAGGGTCTTTAAATTTTCCAAGATGGAGTTTTACCCAAGGTAGGAAATACAGTATATGCTCCCATTGGGAACAGATAATCATTTACCTGAAGGATTGATGGTAAATATGACAAAAGAAGTATGTTCATCTAAGGTGCATTATGCTTACAGATGCATCCGTAGGTGTAGAGGTAAGGTGCACTTTCAAATTTTATCATAGTATACAATTTTGATGTAAAACGTTCTTAGGATTATCTCAAAATCTATTTTTATATCTAATTGTAAAATTTTAAATTTAAAAAATGGTTAAGAATCAAGTAGATAATATGTTATAAAATGCACTATTTTTTTAGACTTAAAATCTTTTTATTTTTTACAGTCATACATCTCGATGTCTAGATGATCAATCAAAGGGTTTTTCAACATTAAAACTATTTTTTTCGATAGATTTTTGAGCGGCATCTGTAGTTCTACATTATAAGGTAGATCCTTAGATAAACTTTTTCTTTCATCTAAACATTAAAAAAAAAAAAAGGACAAAAAAAGAAAAAAAAGAAAAGAAAGTAGACTCATCTAATCTAAACCTCTACAAGGTTTTATACAGACGGGCCATAAATCGCAATGAAATTTGAATTTTTGAAATTTGCAAATTAATTATTTCCACTTCAACGATCACATGCATCTAAACAAAAGAAAAGGAGCAATATTTAAAGCTTAAAAATAATCTAGTTTGTAATTTTTTTTTGGTTATTCGAGATCTTTACACAACTGCTAGATATAATGAGACAATTTACTTGTGGTACAAGGTGGTGACAGTAATATTGGCCATTGGATGTAAAATTTAGTGGCTGCATTTATGTCATTGACTAAGGTCAAAGTTCAAAGAAATTTTTTCGAACTTTGTGACACACCCAAACTATAATATTTCACATCAGATGGTTACAAGCAATTGTGACCTGTCTCCATGTATAGTTATATAATCCCTATTTTTAAGGGCAAAAAAATTGGATTTTGATTTGGGTTTATATAGACTCCCACTCTCTTTCTTCACCAAAAGTTTGAATTGTTTCGTCTGTGGTGGTGTGTTGTATGGAAAAAATTTATATAATATGTCAATCTTATACTATTGATTAAAAACTAATAATTTTAACTCATGAAAATAATGCATCACATTATCTAAGTTATCGGTTTTTATGATTTTCAAGTGTTTATAGATCTGTAGACTATTTTTGAAATTTTAAATTCTATAACTCGTGTGACATTAGATTTTCAAACATTCAAAGGGCCTTTCGGCATAGGAACTGCATCTTTCGTCACTGCTTGGAGATGCACACCTTACTCTGATTGTTTAAGGTTCACGTATCATATCGTTATGTAAACCACACTCGTTTTAAAAGCCATGTTCTTAAAATCCAATGGTTTTAAAACATTTAATTGTACATGCATTTAAAAGCAGTCGGTATCGGAATCCCCTGATTTGGATCGAGTTTGATCAGTGGTGATCCACGTCTACCACTTGGCACCGTCTGATTTTCACCCCTTTTATTCGTAATTTTTAAATTTTATTTTTATTTTACCTAATATCCACTTATCCGGATCACCAAAGTGTATAACTGGTGGCCCGGTTTCCGGTTCAACCAGCCAATTGGGATGTTAAGACACCACTTGAAAAAGTGCACACACACACTCTCTCTTATATGTTTTTATGGTTTTTTTGATAAATACAGGGCAATAAGGAAATAGAATTGCTTCCATGAAAAAGGACATAATTCAAGATGTAGGGTGTCAGGAAATATGTACACTATAATATTTGGGGCGATTGAAATGATATTATCTCAGTTCCCAAATTACATGGCTTTCAGTTTTGGCCTCAATAATGTCCTTCACTTATTCATGCATTGCATTGGGTTGGGTCTTGGTATTGCCAAAATTATATCCCATGGAGAACTTAGGGGTAGTTTAAGTGGCGTTCACAACTCTCCAGTCACAAGGACATGGAATGCCTTTCAAGCCCTTGGCAACATTGCTTTTGCTTACACATTTGCTGGAGTTCTCTTAGAAATACAGGTACTGTTTTCTTCCTCCTTTTCTATATATTTAACATTCCCTCATCATCGTGATCATTATCATTATCCAAGTCTTGTCTCAGTAGGTTATATGAATCATGATCATCCATTCCCCCTCTCTCTCTTTAAAATGACCGTTTGATATCAATCTCTCACTTTCTCTAGTAGTAAAATGTGTTTGCATTGAACCATATGATATCATACATGATAGTGATTTAAAAATTGCTCATATCGGCACAAAATCACCCTGTTCGACCCGTGAATCACTCATCCAGTGCTCATCCTGTCAATATATACGAAATTTTCTGGGTCTAGAAGAGAACCAGCGATTTACTACGGTAAAAAATGACCTTTTGCTGCAGTAAAAATTTCATTTTGATGTTGTAAAGATGTCGATTCACCGATTTGGACAGATATTTGGTCGGTCCATTCTTTTTGCATGTATTTTTTTACTGGTTCAATATTATATCCGCACAATAAAAAGGTAATCTAGACTACCGATTCATCGATCCAAATCGGTTTTTGCGTTGCCCGATCTTTGTCACCGATTCGATTTTTAAATCACTGATACATAACCATGTTTAACTGAACCATTTCTTGTGATAGATAACTAGGTTGGAAAAGTTCACATTAAGTAAGGTGCACCCCAAAATCCTGTAAAAAAGAGTGTTATGAATTTGAAAAACCTTTCATCATCTCGACCGCGAACATATAGATATAAAGAAAAAAAAAATATTTTCAAATCCTAAAAATAATGGATTTTATAATAAATTATCTGGTCCATCTGAAAATTTTCACTAAGATTATCGAAAGATTCTGAAAATTTTGGGGAGACGTTTGGTAATGGTGGAGTTTCGGGTTGGGAATGGTCATTTTTTCTATCCCAAGCCGACTCAAGCGATTCTAGGTTAGGACGGCAAGTTTTTTACCACTGTCACTTATATGTATTTCACTTTTAAAGCTGAAAACTGTTGGGCTTAGTCACCCATCAACGAGTTAGTACTTGTAAATGAGTTTCTTCTCATTTCTTATGTATAAAGGACAGAGCATGCTCACATCAATGATGTGTGTGTCAGTGCTTGAGGTGGCCTTTGCACCTATGAGCTCCTCATCATGGTAAGCTCCAATAATTCCCATGCACTTTGCACACATTTGGTGTTCTTGTGCATTCATTTTGGATTCATTGAGCAATTTTATCAAGATGAAAGGCAATTTGTTCATTGAATTCATAATTTTTCTTTAATATTTACAGAACTGTGAAACATTTTCTAGAAGTTAGTTGATTTTGTATGAAGTTATAAGAATCAACACATCTTCTTTCTTTTGTGAATTATAACATATCTTCCATTTATTATATTTGAAAGAGAGGAAAGGACTTTAGGATGTTTATGTGCGTTTATAATTTGTGTTTTTAGGACACTTTAAGATCTCCTCCACCAGAAAATAAGACTATGAAAAGGGCGACACTGTACGGGATCGCTGTGACAACCATATTTTATATGTCAGTCGGTTTTGTGGGCTATGCTGCTTTTGGAAATCATGCACCAGGCAACTTGCTCACTGGATTTTATGAATCCTTTTTGCTCATTGACATTGCCAACTTGTTCATTGTCATCCACCTTGTGGGTGCCTGCCAAGTAAGTAGTGCTCTCTCACTCTCTCAGAAAGAACAATAAGAGTACTCATACTCCTCCTACATATCCCAAAATGATACTAGTAAGTAGTCTTGTATATTCTAGCATGACGATATTAATCCGGGTTTGAAAAATTACTTATCAGGCTTAGGACTTTCCTAAGCCTGCCATGATCGAGTTCTTGGGGATTTCTGGGCCAAAAACTCTGTGATCACATGAATCTCTTGGACGTTCATAAGAAAGTTGATTGTTCCTATTACATTTCCTCAGTCCGACATGGGACTCACAACAGTCAAATTGGGGGACTTGGATCCTCAAGTGTCCAAGTTGGTACCCTGATACTTGAATATAGCTGAATGTATTGAGCCGAAATATCCATTTATTTTTTCTTCAGATGGGATAGTATGAATTTGAACGCATTCATCAAACATCTTACCAAGAAATATGCTGCCCATCCTCGAAGCAAATGTATTTAGAATTTGTATTTAGTCATACCTTGTAAGGTGTAGAATTCATTATGAGTGTGATCTAAGTGTGATCTATGCCTTCATGTACTTTAATTTGTATTTTTTTTCTTTTTAATTATGCAAAATTTTATGGACATTTCTCTATGTTTCTAAATTTGAGGGTACAGTGTCGCACAACATAAAAAGGGGTCCGAAATGGACAACTGTTTTAGTCTCCAGGTAATATAGCCTCTTTCTCCAAGCACAAACTCAGTCTCTCTTCACTCATAATAATGCACTGTTGTTACAGGTGGTTTTGCAACCAATTTTTCAGGTTGTGAGAAGTATATTTCTTCGAAATGGTCGACAAACTGCTATTTGATTGCCACCTACATTCTCAAATTTCCTCTGTTGTCCTCATTCGCTTTCAGATTCACCCTCTCAAAGCTCAAAGTTCAATCACTACTTGTCATCATAATCACTCTAATCGCCTTGATTCTTCCCTTCTTTAATGCTATCATGGGCCTCCTTGGAGCATTGGCCTTTTGGCCATTAACAGTCTATTTCCCAACAACTATGTACATTTCCCAAATGAGGGTAAAGCAGGGCACACGAAAATGGATTTTGTTACGAAGTCTGAATGTCATTTGTTTCATGGTTAGTCTAATGGCTATTATTGGTTCAGTAGCTGGTATTTTCGATAGTCTTAAGCATGTGACCCCTTTTAAGATGGCATATTAAGTAAAGTCATGGGGGAAATCAGAAAGTATGAGAAGTATGAAGATTAGTTGTTTTTCTTTTTTGTATTGTTCTTTATGGCTGCATAAATGTTGGGGTATTTTCTTCAAGTGGTTAGCCCATGCCCATTTTATCAATCAGAAGCTTGCATTTTCATTAGCCTTAAGTATGTATTAACAATGTATTAAAGCTCTGATTTGCGCATGGTAAGAATTCGAACTTATGGAATAACGGATGATTGTTCAGTAACTTCTTTTGTTGGGGGGACTATGCTCAAAATAATTTAATAAATTCCATGATTCCAACAAGTTATATGAGTTAAAAGAAAGTTGCTGTAATCTGTGAACGCAATATCGGCTTGTCCTTTTGTTCTGCTTTTCTTTGGATCAAAATACTGGTGTGCCTGGGTATTATCTAATAAATTAGTGTTCACTTGCTCCATTTTCAAGCATTTGCATCAAGCGAATGCTTGACGAAAATAAAATATTTTTTCTGTTTTTTTTCTTGGTTGGAAAGGCCTAGTAGATAGTGGTAGTGTACAATGAACATGCTTGCAAGGAAGTAGCCCATGGAAATATTTATAAATGACAAGGAAGTTGTGACATTTAGGACTGCCAATACAAAATGAGATAGGAGAAAGTAATATGATAAGACCGTTTATTTTTGGCATAACGAGATTGCAAACACATTAAGTAGTTAGATGTAAGAAGAGTGTTTGACGATGTGTCATGTCTAAGCTGAAAGCCCAAAAGAAACTTTCATGAGTGACACACACAGGCTGTTGAATTCCTCCTCTGATGGTCAGGAGTGATTGCGATCTTCATATACTAAGAATAAACTGTCTCATAGTATACCATCCCATTAAATAATGGGTGGACAAATCCCTGGCTATAACTAACAAATATGGGCCACAAGGTATATCTGTGTCTAATGAAGACAAGGATACATGTCTCAGTATTCTACTATACCAGTGTAAGAAACATGAACCTCCGAGTTGGTCTCTTTGATGTGACATTCCCATACATCAAATAAATAGAGATGGGGTGGTTTTTCTTTAGTGAATTACATGCATTTTAAAAGTGAGCACTCACTAGAAACATCGTTAAGAAGTATCTAAATTTTTAAAGTATCCCATGCCTTTAGTGTCTTGGAATGAGACGTGCCGAAACTATGGATATGCAAGTCCATGATACAAGTCATAACATTCTTTTAGATGACCAAATCCTCCAATTTCATTTCTTATGCTTGTTTGACCATTTCTAATTTGCATTTTTTATCATTGTAGTGAAAGATGTAGAGATCCCTCACTTTCCATTTTGGCAAAACTGCTGCACCAAATGAATAAACGTGCACAAGGAACATCAGGGAGTTTCTTATGCTGTTAAATAAAAGATTGAGCACCACATAACTCACAGGCCTTTAACAAGAAAAATGCAATTTTCCCACATTCCAAAGCATTTGATTGCCACGTGAGGAATAGGTTTACTGCTCATGTGGATTCATCACATATGAGTTACACAATATTTTCTGAAGCCCCTTTTTTGTAAACATGCCCAATAAAGGTTATTGGTTTTTATATTCCTTTGAGTTTATGAAATTCTCTTATTCTACAATTTCTATACATGTTGACTTCTTTCAGTCTTCTTCATAGGCATGGAACTAGGACGCATGATCATCAGCGAATTCATGTTTATATTCATAGAGTTACCGGTCCCAAATTATCTTTGATAGAGTTCTTATTATGAAGAAAATCTCTTTTGCTAATTACACAAGGCTGCAGACAAACTCATGAAAGTATATTACATTAAATTTACTGAGAAAAACTCCAGATAATATGTTATTTACTTAAGATGACATTAAGATCATTAAGATCTCTTTATGAACCCATATAAGGAAAATTTAAAAGAAAGCCTCTATTTCACCACACATGCAAACAGAATCAGCAATCAATCTCAATCGTTCCTAATGAGCCACTTGTCCTCTCGATGTATTTTGTGCATTTGTTATGGTGAATTAGTACTTCTCGTTTCCTTCATTGATTAGTTCGGCCGTAGGATTCGAGCTTGGGGCGAAGTGCTCCAACCATTGACACGTTAATGAACCAAGCCAAACTCGCGTACTGGTTAATACACAGCTTTGAAGGGCTTCGAATGCTTGAGGCTCTTGATGATATCAGCCACCGAACCGATAGCAGCTAAAAGAGAGACCACAAAAGAAGCAGCTAGGAGGCATTGTAAGAGGACCCATTTCATGGTACCCCTCTTTAGCCTAGCCTGTGCTATGTACATGTTCACAGGGAAGTATACAGTGAGAGGCCAAAATGCTATAGCCCCAATGAGACCAGCAACTGAGTTGAAGAACGGCACAAGCATGGCCACTAACGTTGTTACCACAACTACGGTTGTGCGCACGAGGAGAGACAGGGGGGACAAGCTTACGCCACCCAAGTTCGAAAATGGTAATTTGACTGTCAATTGCAGATGGACAAAGCAGTTTGTTGGCCAGGTCGAGTATATCATGTCCTCAATTGCGGCAAAGATGGGTTGCCCGTACACCTACACAGTGAAACAAATAAATGATAAGATCAAAATTTTCATTATCTGCAAAACATGTGCACGGAAACGCATATACATGACACATTTTCATGCAAATACTCTATTACAAGCAAGCAACGCAGACACACACTCTCTTCTCCAAATCTCTCTTTATAATCTTTTTTTTTCTGGGGTAGCTCACTGGTAGGAAATAAACTTGCTAAGAAGGGGATAGCTCTCTGTGCTGCTATAGTTTGGCATGTTAGACTGCCGGATTTCATTTCTTTGTCGTAACTTATGATTTGGTTCAATTGCCCTATGATATGACTGTAACACTATGATTTGTATCTTCTCTATTTTTAGTTAATGAAAAATGGGTAGGGGCCTTCTCCCCCCGCTGACTTACCCCAAAAAAACAAAAAATTCCATTTAACACAGGAAGTGCAAATGATGGTTGGGCTCTTAATTTTGAGCAAGAAGGCTTCTACTAGGATGGCAGGGACATGAGGTTGCATAATACCTGGTAAGCTCCTGTGAGATGAATGGCAATGCAAAGGTTCCCGATGTCCACCAGCCAAAAGGGTTCATAGAATCCGAAACCAGTTAGGATGTTTCCAGGAGTGTGACTTCCGAACGCGGCATAGGCTGCAGAACCCAGTGAGACATAGAATATCGCAGTGGATGCCATCCCATAAACTGCTGCTCTCTTCATAGTTTTATTCTCCGGTTGATGTGGCCTCAAAGTGTCCTGGAAATGGTGAAGCATATGTTCAGGTTAAAGTGAAGTTACTATAAATTCATAGTTAGTAGAGAGAGATAATAAAGTAGTACCTGTATCTCTATGAGAACATGGGCAAAAGCATAAGCAAAAGCAATGCTTCCTAGAGCTTGGAAGGCATTCCACATGTTGCTTGAAATGGAGGAAGAAGCAGTGTCACCAATGGAGTTCCCTCTTAAGCTTCCTTTGATCTCCCCTTGACACACAAACTTTGCTATGCATAGAGCTAGTCCTATTCCTGAATACACAAAGGAGGTGATTGTTGCCACCACTGATATCGTTGATACCTTCTCCAAATTTGGTAATTGGGACAATATCACTTGAAATAAACCATAGATAAACATATACATAATCCCTGAAGTCCCACATTTGCTGTTGTGCCCGCTCTTATGGAAGCAATTTGATTTCTTCATGGCACTGCATTTGAGAAAGAGAGAGAGAGTTATCAACTAAAGAATTCTACGACTAGGTAGGGCTGTCAAAAGGCGAGTTGACTTGCTGGATCTCGGTCAAGGGTGGCAATGGACCCAGACCCGGCCCAGGACATGAGAGGTAGACCCGGTCGGGGTCCGGGTATGGGCCCAAAGCTTGGACCTGGCGGTTAGGGTCTAGGTCCAAATCTTGGACCCGAACAACCCGAACACTATTCGGGTCCAGGTCCGAGAATATTTTTCGGGTCCCAATATATGACATACATTTAAATATAGTTATGTACATTGATATTTTTTAATTTTTTGGATTGAGTCCGCCGTTTGGGTTTGGATCCAGCGAATACGGATCCATGTCCAGCAGGACCCTGACCTAACTCGACCCTTTGCCTCCCTTACGGGTCTAAACCCATGAAATGGATTCTGCTGGTTGGGTCCTGGTTCATTTGACTTGGAGCCGTGCTGGGCCAGGTCATTGTCAGGTCCAACCTCGACAAATGCAGGTTAGGTCAGGTTCAAGTCTGGGTCCGATATATTTACATGTTATTACAAATTATAAATAATATTTTCACGTATACTATGCTCCTTCAGGAGTATAGTTTACTTCTACTCCTATGGTTAGAAAACGGGAGGTTTTTGTCAATAAGAAATTTTGGGAACCACTTAAGAATGATTAGATAATTATTATAAAAGAAATATTTGAAGTTTGAGCTGTATGACACTTAGATCTCACCATCTAAAAATTGGATGGTCTCTATTCTATCTCGAGAAATTATTTTTTCATTTGTATAAAGGTTACAATTAGAAATTTCTTTTTAATTGAGGTTAATTTATATGTTTAAGAGGGTACATCCCAAAACTTGAGGTCCTAAAATTAATTCCAAGTAGGTTTTATCTAAGAGAGTAAATGAACATTCTACTCCAGCTAGAGTAGTATGTCCTTTGGCATATAATATATTATTTTTTGTATTTTTATGTCTTGACCTAGACTCAACTCGACCCCACCCATGAGTCCGGTCTAGGTCCAACTGACTTAGACCCGACCCTGGTTCGGGTCGGTTCAAGTTCGAACTTAGACTGAGTTAACAGCCCTATTGCTGGGACCAAACTTATCACAACACCGACAAATGCAACAACAAAGAGAGGTAAATGGTCGGAAGACAAAATACTTACACCATGCTTGAAGCAGCCACGATGGTGTATGACACCATTGAACCCCAAAGAATTGCATATTGCACCATTCCACACATAAATACATTTCTCGGCCCTGCAAAACTATGGAATTTAGATATATGTGCAATATGTATGTTACCGAAATGAGATTAAGAGTTGGGCTTAGGATTGAGCGGTTAGCAACTGACATTTAGTAACCTTGCGTCTTTAATTCGATGCTTAATGCTAAAATACGTTAAAAAAAAAAAAAAAAAAAAAAAAAAAAAAGAAAAAAGGAAAGAAGAAGAAAAGAAAAGAAAACTCTAACTAGGTTACGCAAAACAGTGCTATGCCCCAGGGGATGGAACGGATCGGGTCCAGATCTATTTGAGTGAGATTTGACTGGGTCAAGCCCGGTCTGTAACCATGCTAGTTGAGGTTCAACCCAATTCATGACATGTAATTATAAAGAGACATTGTTACTTTTATCAACTTTGTAGGGGTGCAGTTGAAACTTTCGTTAAGGCAAAAGGTATTTGTATTAAAATGTTCCAAGACATACACTTAATTAATAATTAGATAATTTATAAAAGAGAAATAATCTTGTAGGACCTTCCCCACCCGTATGTGTAGGATTTCAAAGGATCACCATTAAATTTGACACGGATCTATAGAAAAGTCAAGTCTCCCACCGATGTGATAATTTTTATAGAGATCTGTGCCAACTTTAATAATGATCATTTGAGACCTTACACGCATGGGTGGGGGAAAATTCTATAAGATCATTACGCATTATAAAAAACCAACTTTTATATATATATATATATATATATATCGGTAAATATACTCATCACTATCTATTATCACCATCTAGTTTAGCATTAGCTTTTGTAATTTGGCTCTGTACTAAATTTACGCAAATCCTATATTTCAAAATTTCCTAACAATAAAGTAATTTTTATATTTATTAAGGTATTTTATAGTCAAAAGTCTTAGATTAGTAAATGGTGTAGGTTCTAAAGAGGGAGGCCTTTCTATGTGACCCCGCCCATATATATGGTATATGTGACTTTGGTATAAGCCGTTAGATCTGAGTACATGGCTGAGATGGTTTGAGTCACAATGTCACAAGCTAGCGCTTAATCGTCAAATTTTAATTTGATAGCTTAGAGTTTTTTATTTTTTATTTTTAGTTTACAAATAATTTTGAAGCAAAATTTGGGGTAAGCAAAGATCTGATAGGGACACATATGACAAAAATAATAAAAAAATATTTCCAATGTGAAAATTTATCAGAATATCTCCAAAAATTTGTAGGGGTATTTTGGTCACTTATTTTTACATAAAATATATTATTTTTTATTTTTTTCAGGTTTGCCCTAATTTATGATGGGATGCACAAAATTTCATGCAAAATTGTTTTGTATAAAAAAATAAAAAATAAAACAGTTTTTGGCATGACATTGTGGTATGAACAATCATAACCATTCAATTCATATCGAATGGCCAAGAAGTGGGGTTCACATATACCTTAAACAATCTATTTAAGGTGTACTGCGAAATTTTATCATAACATATAATTTTGGTGTAAAAATTTATTAGGATTATCTAAAAATCTATTTTTATTTCCAATTATAAACTTTTAAACTAAAAATATAGCTAAAATCAAGTAGATCTATAAACATATGAAAATCTTAAAAATGAACGGTTTGGATAATATGTTGCCAGATGCACTATTTTTGGGACTAAGAATCTTTTTCTTTTCATATTCATACAACTCGATGTCGAGATGATCAATTAGAAGGTTTTTCAACATTAAAATAACCTTTTCCATGGATTTTTGAGGTGCATTCTTAATTCTACATTTTAAGGTTGCAACTCTACATGAACTTTTTTGGGAAAATTACATACATATTTGTTATATTTTGTGTTATTACGAATGTATCAAATAGTTTATGTTATTATATGTTTGTCCGTTTTTCTACTTTTTATAACGCAATTTTTTAAAAATAACAACTTTACCCTTTTTTGGATGTTGAACATCTGAAAATTTCATATATACCCATTTTCAGATGTTGAACATCCAAAAATTATATACATACCCTTTTTTACGTTTTCAGACGTTGAACATTCAGAAATAGACCGAAAGTTCATATTCCCATTTTCGGGTGTTGAACATCCAAAACTATGACATTTTCAGATGTTTAATATCCGAAAATGGTTTCGGATGTTGGACATCCGAAAATATCACATTTTCAGATGTTCAATATTCGAAAATAAGACTTTCTAGAAGGTCTCTATAAAATGGGAACATCCGAAATGTGAAAAATGGGAATGTGAATGTTTAACTTTCAGGCCATTTTCGGATGTTGAACATCCGAAAAACCCTTCAATTCGGATGTTCAACACCCGAAAATGAGAATGTGAACGTTAACACTTTCGGCTTATTTTCGGATGTTCAACATCCGAAAAAGGGTAAAATCGTTTTTTTAAAAAAAATTGCGTTATAAATGGTAAAAAACAGACATACAACTAATAACGGAAACTATTTGGTACATCCGTAATAACACAAAGTATACCGGATATGTATGTAATTTTTCCAACTTTTTTTCATTTGTAAATTCTAAATTCGCCATTAGTATGTTGTATTCTAGAACAATCAAGGACCCAAGGCTTATGGTGGGTGCCACCCATTGTTATCAACATGTTTGGTATGCAATTATTCCCATAATTTTCTTCTGTATCACCATGATATAAGAAGAAGTGACAATGACAGATGGATAATGAAGATAAGATGATAGAACTTATGATAATTCAATGAGATTAAAGGTGAAAAGGAGGAGAGGAGGGGTAAGTGGGGATGCTTACCAAGAAATACTCTCACTGCATCTCTGTAGGTGTAGTTTCTCTTTCCAGTGAGTGGATTGGGGTATCTATAGCAATCAGCTTGAAGAGTTGCTGTGTAGTAGGTGACATAGCCAAAGCCAAGGAGACAAAAAGGCCCCAAAATCCAACCCAACTGAGAAACACTCCACCCCAATCCCAACACCCCAGATCCTATCACTGCTGTAATTATATGGGCAGTTGCAGTCCAAACTGTCCCTGCATCAGAATCATAAGAGAGAGAGATTTACGAAAAAAATTGCCATCCAACTATTGTAGACATAGAGAATGAAAGAGAAAAACAAAATATTATGAAACTATAGCAGAAAGAGAACTATGACAGAGATATTGAGATAGAGAGATGAAAATTACTATGAAATTATAATTGTGTGAGAGAGAGAAGACAAAATTTATTATGATACATTCTTATTTCACAATTTAGCTAGTGTCCTATAACCAGTTTTGAGAGAGATAGAGAGAATAGAGCTCATGACAAAGCAAGCACTAGCCTTATAATATGCAAGATAAAGGGAATGCATTGTCTTAAAGTATGGCAGAGATATTGAGATAGAGAGATGAAAATTACTATGAAATTATAATAGTGTGAGAGAGAGAAGACATACAATTTATTATGAGACATTCTTATTTCACAATTTAGCTAGTGTCCTATAATCAGTTTTGAGAGAGATTGAGAGAATTGAGTTCATGACAAAGCAAACACTAGCCTTATAATATGCAAGATAAAGGGAATGCATTGTCTTAAAGCTTCTTACATGCCACATGCTATAGGAAAATTATATGAGCCCGTATACAATGAGACGATTAAACCTTTGATACAACAGTCACAATCACTTACTTACAAATATCCCATTTACTTACAAATATCCCATGTGAAATTCGATAGCTTGGGTTTGTTACAAAGTTCAAGAAATTTTTTTTTGAAGTTTGAGCTTAGATAATGAAATAAATGCAACAATCTAATTTCACATCCAATAGTCAAGATTACTTGCGTCCACTTTATACCAAAAGTATATGGTCTCATTGTGTAATTTTTCAAATTGTATAAACTCTCCCCTCCCATATAAGACAGTTGCATAGCTTCAGTTAAAATGTCACAAAATGTTATGCCAATATTGTTTTATGTTTATTTATTTTTTATAAATAACCCTGACATTGTATTTCATATGTTTCCATTCCTTAGTATGGTGCACGTAAAAAAAATAAAAAATGTTTATGATAAAATAAAATACCCAAAACAGACCTAAAAGTTGTATCAGTATTTTGGTCATCGTTTAATAAAATTATTTTTATTTTATTAGTTTGTATAGATTCATCCTTATAAGAAGTGAGCATACCCCAAATTTTGTTTCAAGACAATTTACAAAAAACTAAAAATAAAGTAGCCCCAGTTGTTCAATCAAAATCAAATAGACAAAGGCTAACTCATGACTTTCAGTTCTCGCATACATACATTCAGAACAAGTAGGATATGAAAGGGAAGAAATCTTTCCCTTCTTTTTATGAGAGAGACAGAGAGACTACTGACTGCATGAGAGAGAGAGAGAGAGAGAGAGAGAGAGAGAGAGAGAGAGAGAGAGAGAGATCTTACCATTTCTCACTCGTCCATCATCCATGTTCCCTCCCTCTTCCATCTTTCTTCCTTCATCTTCCTTCATCTCTACAGAGAATCACAATCTTGAACTCTTCTCCATCCAAAACAAACTCATTTATTCAAGTTATATGACCATAACAAATGGCCATGACTTTGCAAATCTAAGGGATTTTAAAACTTGAAACTTATTTAAAATAGATATTGTACTAAAGGTGGGAATATACGACCAATGCATATTTTCAACGCTGGATTTTATGTGTGCATTTAGTGCACTACAAAAAACATTGTCGGGATTCTTCAAACCATTAATCAAGAATTTTTTTATTTTTTATTTATTTTTATTTTTATTTTTTTTACACACACTAGCTTGCTTGGGTTTTGTGGAACCAAAGTTCAAAAGCTTGAACCGTTAACCTCCCTTGCCCAAACTGATATGTCTACTATTAAACTAAAGCCTGAAAACTTTAATTACATACTTGCGATTGCATCCTTTTTCTCCATTACAGGCTCAAGAGAAACCCCAGTATCAACAGATTTGATTTGGAGAGCTAGCAAATATCAAAAGGGATTGTATACAATGTGATTATCACCCTTTCCTATAAATAAATGTCACAAACTCCTTACGTCATCCAAAAAAAAAAGTGAAATTTGCTGGAATTTGTCATTTCTCCTCACAAAATTTAAGAAAATTTTTCTCGGATTTTCAATTTATGCCTCTAGTCACTCAATTCCGCATTTGATCCCTACAGCATGTATATAAAAAAAATTTATGTAAGCCCATGGAACAATGTAATTCCAACAGCCCAAGATTGAATAACGGTTGACTAATATGTTGGTCGGCTCATTTTTTTTTTTTTAAAAAAATCTAATGAACATCAAAATTTAGCAGCATGTGCCCTGGCATACCAAAGAATTTAATACACACTGAAGATGAAAAAACAAAAAAAAAACAAATAACCTAGAGCATGACCCCCCTTGTCCACCACCATGGTTGTCCTAATTGGCTCATGTCATTTAATCTCAACTGGGTTTACTACATATTTATCTTTTATAGCAAAGAATAAGTACTTTCTTATGTTTATCTTCTATAGCAAAGAATAAGTACTTTCTCATATTTATCTTCTATAGCAAAGAATAAATACTTTCTGATGAAAGGAAAAATAAAAAGGAGAAATACTTCCTTTTTTATACTTGTCAATAAATAAAAGAAAAAAAAAAGAAAGATAGCAACCGAAATAGGAGAAAGACTTCCTTTTTTATTCTAGTCAATAAAAAAAAGGCAAAAAAAGAAAGATAGCAACCCCACATGGCATAAAGTGATATGGTGATGGGCAAATGGTGTCAACTCCAATAGCAATCATACTAAGAAAGCCACTAACAAAAAGTTTAGCTCATATGCTATGCTTCTGGGAGCATATTATACACATTTGGAAGGAATATTATATACATTTGGAAAGATTTTTTCATTGTATCATTTACTTTTGATAAAAGAAAGTCACAATTACTACAATCATCCAATGTGAAATCTTGTAACTTTGGTGCATTGGAAAGTTCGATGCTCAAAGATAAATGCAACAATCTAATTTCATATCCAAAAGTCAAGATTAATTGTGACTACCTTGTATAAAAGATAAATGGTGTCATTGTATACTTTTCACTTTTTTTCGATCCAAAATTTTAGAAACTACCTAAGAATCATTAGAGAATTATTTTAAAAATAAAATAATTAATTTTGAGTTTTTTAACACTTAAATCACACCCTAAAAAAATTGGAGAGTATCTCCTTAATCTTGATACATTATTTTTTTCGATTGCGTAGAAAGTGAAATTTGGAATATTTTATTTTATTTTTTCTTGATTTTAATTAAGAGGTTGAAGAGCTTATATCCCTGAAATTCGGGGACTACTCTTAAATTGGGAAATGTGTTACCACCTTGTGGTAGCCACCCATACACCCTAGTCACCACCTTGTAGTTTTCATTCCCACTAATAGCCCCCAATAAATTACCAAAAAAAAAAAAGATAGTATTAAGAGCATGAAATCTTTCGGCCAGAAAGTTTCTACCTCATTTTATAATAAAAGTTATATTGATGAAAAAGTCTTCTAATGTTAGAACTCCAAAGTTGTAAAATCAACATATGGTTCTTTTTTTTTGCCACAATTGGAAGCATAATGGATGTGCACACATACCTTGCAAAAGCAACAAAAGGTCAAAAGAGAAAGTGAAAAGATTTTATGCGCCTGAAGGAGCATATTGTCGACTTACACTCTTGTGTAAAACTTATCTTAGGAGTGCGTTTGGTACCAAATTTTAGAGATATTACGTTTTGAAACTAGCGACTAAGCTCAAGAGGGAAATTTTTAAATCATACTCTGTTGTGCTTGAAAGAAAGAAAGTCTCAAAATTGAATAGTGGCAGCCAATTTTTTGGAGACTTAAAGTGTTGAATAACTCAAATTGAAAATTTTATTTTTGAAAATAATTATCTGGTGATGCCTAGGTCGATCCTAAACTTGAGAAAAACTCCCAAGTAGCTTTTTCACACAAGGGAGTAAGTGTACAATGTGCTCCCATGAAGCATGGTACACATGCTAACCAATAAAAATGGTATGTCGTCTAAATACAAGATAATTTAATGAGTTTAAACATTAAAGATTATATTCTAACCTCAAATTGGTGGGATAAGATTTAGATGATAATGAAACTTTAAACATTATATTAAACAACAATGTACTTCTTTAGAAAGCTTTAACAAAGAAGCGTGCGTAAAAATGTTAATGAATGGTATGGTGAAAATTACAAGTCATAAAATTTTTTCTTTTTTGTGAACATGTTTTCTCTAAAAGATTTTTTATTTCTTTTTTGCAAATCAAATTTTGAAATGTATTGAGATTTGTTTCATGAGTAAATTATTGGAAAATATTTTTTTGGGTAATTCAGTAGGAAAGATATGCCCCTGCCCATTTTTTCAAGAGTTAGTTTTTTGTTTGAAGTGGTCAATGGAGTTATGTCAATGAAAATAAAAACCACTACATGGTAACTAGGTTGTGGGAGCGCTACCATCACGAGCCCATCTCCTTTCTCAATTCTTGGAAAACTTTGCACATAATAGCCGGCTAGCTTGACATAAACTAGTCTGGCTACCTAATGCAATGTAACTCCTCTAGTCTTTTTGTGTGTGTGAGTGAGTGAGAGAGAAAGCACCAAAATGAGAGAAACTCCTCCAGGTTGTGTGTGTGTGAGAGAGAGAGTATCAAAATGAGAAACTCCTCTAGGCTTTATATGTGTGTTTGTGTGTGTGAGAGAGAGAGAGGAAGTACCTAAAATGAGAGAGAAACTTCTCTAGGGTTTGTGGCCTTGCAGAAGGGAAACAATCGACACAGTTTGTTACAAGAGTATAGCAACAACTGCTCTCCACCTTTTGTGTGTTTCATAATGCACAAATCTCTCCCCAAGCTTGCTTTTATAGATGACCAGATCTACATAATTTGTCAATGAAACAAGTTTGTATGGAGAGTGAGAGAGAAAGGGGTCAAACCTGAGACATGTGTCTCCTTCATAAAAAGCAAGTGTAGAGGCCTACGAAGCTTCTCGACCACCTCCACTAGACAAAACTTAATGACCATTACACAAACCTGCTTCCATGATAAAGTGCATGCATTTGCCACTAGTTTTGTCAATAATCTCTCTCTCTCTCTCTCTCCACATTTTATAGGTTGTAGTTCTTCGAAGGGTGAGGTTTGTATAAGGTGTCAACCTTATACTATTTGAGGTAGGTTGCACTTCAAAACTAAGTCAAAAATGTAGTTTCGGTACCGCAAAGTCTTAGGATGATATGAAAATCTATTATTAACCCCAATTAAAAAATTTAAAATTTCAAAAATAGTGACCATCAAGTAAATCTATAAATATTTAAAAATCTTGAAAATGGACGGTCAGATAATGTGTTAGAAGATGAACTATTTTTTGAACTAAAAATCCCTTATGCTTACTGTGTTTATGAATATCGTGGTGAGGATGATCGATTTGAGGGTTTTCTAACACAGGAAGAGCCGTCTTTAGTGTGTTTTTCGGATGCACCATACACGTACGGTATGAGGTTGACGCCTTATATAAATTTTTTTCTTTCTTCAAAAAGGCCTCCCCTTGTTTTTTTAACAAATGATTTTGTAGAGAGACAGGTGAACCTGTGGGCCCAAAAAAAGAAATTTTGAGAATCCCCTAGCAAATTTGTAGTGAGAGTAAGGGAATATTGTAGCATCAAAACAAGAAATTTTAGAGAGAGAGAGAAGGGGATTGTGGGTTCAGACGTTGAACCCATCAATGTCTTCTCCAAGATACATGTAATGCTTGTATGACGCCCCCACAAAAAGTTCAAATCGCTCCACCTACGACCACTATAATTGTGTGCTTTGTATTTCGTACATGGTTCTGGTCCATTCGGTCGCCCACCCACTTTGAAAAAACCCCCCACTTAGGTCTACCTCTTATATACATTTCATTCATGCAAAAACAATCCTCTCTTTTTTGAGCATTCATATTTTTTTTTAATCTCTCTCTCTCATCTCTCCATAATCCTCCTCAGGTCACCTTTTTGTTTACATTCATTCTTGCGATAATCCTCTCCCCTTCATTTGAATTTTTCTTTTTTTTTTTTGTTTTTGACAATGTTCAAAATTTTATTGATAAAAGAAGGTTTATAGCAAGCTAAATCACTAGCCTCTCGAAGCACATAAGAATAAAAACTAAAACAAAAAAATGAGTAAAGATCGAAGAGAAACTCCCCTCTTCACATAAGAATCTACTAGATCATTAGCCTCCTGAAGCACATGTCTGAATGATGCATCCAATGAATCTCCGATTACCATAGCTTCTAACCAAAGAGACCTCAACTTCCATGGCATTTTCCATATCCTAGAACACCATATAATTGCATTCAATGAATCCCCTTTAATCATACATGGAATTCTCATATTCTTATCCCTCAGAATTTTTAATCCTTGAAGTATAATGAAGGACTAGGTGGCCCACATTCTCATCACTTTCAAACATAAGATTGGTCTCTCAGCCCTCTTCCTCCACCCATCCACCCCATGTCTCCGTCAATCCCATATTTTTCCTTCAAAATATTAAGCTATAAAATGGTTATCATCCACTACCGCTCTCCACCACCATTTAACTAGTAGAACCCAATTTATACACTTTAGCCTTCTGACTAACTGGAGTGCATTCTCTATCTCAACTAGCCAAATTATACATTTTTTCTAAAGTCTCCTGATCTCCACAATAAATTCCTTATGATCTTTTCAATAACTTTCATGACCGATGTTGGCATTTCAAGAAGGTACATTCGATAAAGTATTAAATTCGAATAAGATGACTCTATTAAAGTCACTCTATCCCTCAAAGATAGATGTTTAGACTTCCAAAGATCTAACTTTGTAGTCGCTCTCTGTACCATAGGATACCAAACTGATTTAGGCAATCTTTTATCAGACATCGGTAAACCCAGATATTTAATCGGGAAGTTATCTACTTTGCACCTTAAATGAAAGGCTAAAGTTGCTACCACTGCATCATCAAGCAATTCCCACAACAGACGTTTTTTCCGGATTTACCTTAAGGCCACGTCCTACTTCACTACAAAAGAGCATTCTCTTGATATTAACCATCTGATCAATTGATGCCAAGAAGAACAGCAAAGTGCGCATATTACAAATGGGAAATCTGTTGACTCTATGGTGACACCTTGAATCCTTCAAACCTTCCCCTATTCGCAACATTGCAAATGGCTCTATTAAAAGCCTCCCCCATGATTGTGAACAAAAACGAGCAAAGAGGATCACCTTCTTCCAGACATCTAGATACCTAAAAAAATTCTTTAGGACTTGCTTCTACCAATACTGAAAAATGAGTACTTGTAAGACAACCATTGATCCATCTGCACCATTTCTCTTCAAACCCCATGCACCTTAAAACTTCTAACAGAACATCCCAGTCAACATGATCATACGCCTTTTCTATATTTAATTTAATTAACACTCCTGGCTCCCCTTGAACAACTCTGGAGTGAATGCATTCATGCGCTATTAGCATCCCATCAGTGATTATCATTCCCTGAATAAATGCTTATTAGTAATCACCAATTACACTTTTCAGCATCATTTGATTCTCTTAGCTAAAACTTTGGCTATGATCTTGGATAAGCTCGTAAGTAAGCTTATAGGGCGAATATCAGATATACCTGAAATCGAATTTTTCTTTGGAATTAATGCTATGTAAGTAGAGTTTATCGCTCCACTTAAAGAATGCTTATCCAAAAATTTGTTCACCATCATCAGTACCTCATACTTAGTCAATTCCCAATTTTTTTGGAAGAATCTCAATGGAAATCCATCTGGACCCGGCGATTGGTCTCCTGAAAGAGTAAAAACTGCTCTTCGCACCTCTTTCTCTGTAGCCCATCTTTCCAAAGAGTTAGCTTCCTGAACTGATAATCTTTGAAACTGAAGTCCATCAAATCTAAGGGTAAAATTCATATCTTTAGAATACAAAACTCTGAAAATAACTCACAAACTTCAATTCCGCAGCCAATCTATTTTGTATCGTAACTCCCTCAAAATTAATTCCAGATATTTCATTCAGCCTTCTCCTTGTATTTGCTAGCATGAAAAAACTTCATATTTAAATCCCTTTCTTTAAGCCACTTTACTCTTGCTCTTTGTTTCTAATAGATTTTTTCATGTCTCAAAAAATCATGGAGTGAGTTCATTAGGCTTATCTTTTCTTCATTCAATTGAGGGGATAAACTCCCTCAAGTGAGGGCTAAGAATTTGAGCAAAAAAACTAGAAAATCAATAAATGAGATGGGTAATGTAGGTGTGATCAAAGAATCAAAGGAGGGGGATCCAGGGGTGGAATCTACTCCAGCAATACCGATAAGGTCTTCGTCACGTATTGCAACCCGCACCATAGACATGTTAATTCAAGAAGTTTCTAATGGAAAGAAGGCAACCTCTGCCTGTTTATTATCATCTTCCAGTAGCTCTTTGTCTGTAAAGGGGATGGAAGTAAAGTTTGGGTCTTCCTCGTAATGAAGTTAATTTGCTGGAATGGTCGAGGGCTGTTAAGAGGATGCGTGAAGTGTTGATATTCATAAACTAGATATTTTTATGTTACAAGAAACAAAAATGTGTGCTCGTACAGTTTTTTTAGGTAGACATGTTTGGGGGGGAGGGGGGACCAGTTGATTTTGTGGGGTTGATTTTTTTAAATCTCTCTCTCTCTCTCTCTATCTCTCTCTCAACCCCACCCTAGGTATAGCTTTTGTTTACATTCATTCATTCAAAACCATCCTCTCTTTGTAATGAATATTTATTTTCTAATATTTCCTCTCTTTCTTTGTCTCTCTCTCTCTCAACACACGCATGGACGGTAGGAAAGCATTACTTATAGGTTGACACGTAAAATGAATAGCAGTTTAGGTTAAGCTCACAGTCGTCAGATCTTGATTAGATGGTTATAAATATATATTATTATATAAATTTTAATATTTTTCACAAATTGAATAGGTTAAGGAAACAAAGCATGTTGAAAAGCGGTGAAGCTTGTAATGTTTCTTGAACCATTTGATTTCGAAAAAGGAAATATTTTATATGAAGTATCAACCTTAAATTGGAGAAGTAAGGTGTGTCTAAAAATCCACCTAAAAAGGTTATTTAGAAATCAAAAAACCTATAATTGAGCATCTCAATATGGAAATGAAAAAAAAAAAAAGTATTCAAAACCTAAAAAATAGTGTTTTTTTGTAACATATTATCTAAAGCCATCTAATTTAAAAAAATTTAAGTGTTTATAGATCCCCTCAATCTACACTCGTTATAGAACTTTAAAATTTCAAAACTAAGGGAGAAAATAGATTTTTGAGTCTCCTAAGAATTGCGATTTTTAGCAGGATTTACAGATGCATCTTACATTGATTGCAAGATTGACACCTTATACAAACTACAAAAAAATTATACAAGGCTTAAACCTTGTACTTTAGAACCATGTTGAAGTGCTCCTAAATTTTCTTCCTGGCGAATACTCCATGTTCAACAAAATTTTCTAATTTGATGTAAGGACAATTTTTTAAGACTGAGGTGCTAAATCGAGCCATCTTTCTATTATTTAACTAAAAAATGAAGGAACTTGAGTTGGGTTGTGTACTTGGTAACAACGTTAACTTTCTAAGAAGAAGTATAAAAAGGTGAGTTAAAGTGGGCTTCTTTGGTGTTTTTGGACAAACTTGAAAAGTTGGGATCTTTGACCTCTCTCACATAGTGTAAGATGTTTCCTTCTATAACAACGAATAAGGGACAAGGGTTGGCGCACTTGTTCATATTTAATTTTTATTTTATGTTTTATTTTATT